TTAGTGCATCACACCGTGTGCAAATCTTGTTTTTTACACGAATTTCTCTGCGTTATTTATTGAAAATCATGTTAATTTTACATTCAAACTGACAATCTTGTCCGCCAATGTTTTTGTTCATCTTCGCAGTTAGGTCGTTTAAGCCAATATTTTTTCACCAGCGCGTGCAGACAATACATCCGTGATGCCAAATTGTATGAAAAATTGAGTTATTTTATATTGATTTAAATTAGAAAGTTTAATTTATTCCGATGTTTGGCAACCTCAGGAAGATCGGTAGCTTACCCTGTAATAATTATTCTCTGTTTTTTGCTGATTGAGTTCCTACTCCGGTAGATAGTATGCTTCCTTGGAAGATAAGGTACAGAAAAAAGGGAATATATGATGGAAAATACCACACACTGACAATGAGAAAGAAAACGGATCGGTGCAAAAATGCAAAATCACTTAAGGCTCTTTAAGGTATCACCGCCTGCGCGAAAAATTATGTTGACTTATCACAAACTGACGTTTACTGAGCTGCCCAATTAATAACCGCCCCGGGAGCAACGGAAACAAGAAAATCAAAATGGATCATAATGAAATTTTTGCTAAAAATGGTAAAGGGGTCATCACGTTTTTTGTCTCCATACACTAGGGAAGATTTTGTGCTTACAGTATTAGTAATATACTGATGTCAGTAAATGGACTTGATTGATATCGGTATACATTTTTTTCCAGTTTCGTTAAGTTCTGCACCTGATCTGGAGGGATCATCATATGATGTGTTGAAAGACAACCACGTTTCTTACCTACTGTTACATTTTCTTGGATTTGATGATAAATATCGGACAGCATAGATTTAAAGTCTGTGATGTGTCAGCTATGATCTCCCAATAAAATTTTTCTTTTTGTGGACCCGCACAAGGAAACGGATAAAAAACATTCTACTCACTTGCGCGTAAAATCTGCGCTCATAACTACGCGGATTTTACACGCAAGTGAGTAAAGTGTTTTTTGAATAGCTCATAAAATATCTACTCAAATGATAATGTATAAAACGAGTTGAGAAATTCGCGTGATATCAGCGGTATTTTTAACTGTTCCTACTTGTCATTTTCAGCAGAGCATGATCAGCCAAAAAGGCAGATTATTGAAATTGATAGACAAAGCGCGAGACATGGGATACAAAAAAAAAAAAATGGAGCGATCATATTGGTAGAAGCCATTGTACCGCTGGACCGCTGGACCGCTGGTACTTATGGATTCAGAAGGAGAATGGCAATGACGGAGTCTATCACTTCGTTTGTCCATTCCAACCGCACCCACCTCCAAAATAGGATCCATCGATTTTCCTGTCTTCTTCTTTGTCGATCGCTTTGTCTATCAATTTCCTCTTATTTGTTGTAGTATATATATATATTAAATATAGAATAAAAAATAAAATATATCATTCAAAAAGTGAAATATGACATTTTTAGTTGGTATGTCTCAACTTCTCTTAAATCCAGTAAATCTTAAAAAAATAAAGAGGGACGCTTACTCTCTAAAGGACCTTGGTTTAGTCGACCGAATTGATTTTTGGAACATTGGAAACGACGACAGTATTGTCAGAAAGGTGTCGGACTGTAGAGTGACCAAGGGGTAGACCTCCTATCACACTGAGATATTTTCTTCTCCTTTCAGCATACTTCAGTGCTAGAGGGCAAAGAACACAGAGCAGTTCCTCAACTTTATTAAGTATTCATTCCCTGGCGCACAAGCATAAAATTCCTTCAAACTGGTGAGTATGCAATACCACCACAGCCGGGCTCGAATAGTTGCCGCACAGATTGAAGCAAAAGTGACATTTAAAACAACGTTTTTTATGTTGACCCGTATTAAACACAAAGTATCACCTTATCTAAGGTTTTGATGTAAACATATCAAAAATATAAGTAAGATAGCGGCATTAATTGCATTTATACAACCGACTAGTTCAAAATTTCTGATTATATAAAACTAAAAAATAAACGTACATCATATCAATCCTGTACGTTCGGCAGACTAAGTGTCATTTTTTCTTTTAGCAAAATAGTTATACTTAAGTCGGAGGTTTGCTGATTTATCAATGATAATACAAATCACATGAATGTAAGAAAATTTGATGGGTACCAGAAAAGTTAAGTGCCTGACGCACCCGAGATTTTTTTCGACAGCCTTTAATTGGACGGAGTTAAACAGAAAGGAACCAAGCCACATCGGGATCGAACCGAGAAAAAGAGGTTTAAAGTTTGGCTCCTGCATAAGACTCAATGTAAAAGATAAACTTCAAGTTCAATTTCTGCAAAAGTTGCTCCAACAAAAACTTTGAATTTTTGGCGATAGATAGTAGAGCAATGGTTGAGTTCAAACCACTCGTAACTAAATTTTTTCCAAAATGTGGGTTGGTTCCTTTCTGCTTAACTCAGTCCAATTAAACTTAAGAATATAAGCCATAAGGGCACAAAATTTTCCATTCGATTTGACTGCACCAATTTTTTTTAAATAAGTAAGGACTTAACGAAATTGATAGCGGTTTAACGTACGTGTGCATAGTGAGATTTCAGTTTCAGATTGTTGAATTTTGAAAGCACTTTGGCGAAAACACCAACACACTACTACAATGTATTACTCAAAATTCCCTTTGATCTATATCATGGCACTGATAAATGCAAAGACTTTCAATGGAGAATTTACACCCACAAATTTTATTGCTTTATCTACGAGTGCCTAATGAGCTGAGTTCGCATTATTTTTCATAATTTTTTCCCGACATGAGAAATTGGAGAAAAATAGATTTAAAAGTGAGAAAATGTGCCGCCTTATGATGTCATCTGGCAGCATTTTCCATTCAAACACATGTATTTTAGCAGATTGGGTTATTTTGTCATATTTTCTCCAAGAATTGTTCTATTTAGAAACCAAGGATATTCTCGTATTTAGTTTTCGTAGTAGTATTATTTTAAAGACGAAATTCACAAAATTTAAGACACCTGCAAATTCTCTAACGAAAAGATAGTTGATTCTACCATTTTAGTTGGTTCGTGCCGAGAGGATAGTACTGCCGTGCTAAGGAAAAACGCCGTATGAGCCTTCAGACGTTGCCAAGTTTCCTCCAATAAAAACCAGATTTACCGGGAAAATCGCGGATGTTACTTTCTAAAATTTTCAGATAATTTTGTACGCAATTTAATCCAAAATATCTGAACTTTTCGAGGAAAAATATACAAGAATGTTTTCAAAAATACATGTTTTATCAAGGGAAATTTGGCAACTCTCGGATGTTCATACGGCGTTCTTCCTTAGCACGGCAGAGTAAGACCTGATCATTTTTCTCAGCCGCCTTACTGCGATACATCGAAGTATGAGGTCATCACCATGTAGCCCACAAATAGGTTTGAGCTAAAGGGATTCCCACCTTCACAACGAAGCATAAATTTCAGCCAGCGGAAAAGCCTGAAACGGAAGTGGGGAAACCAGCTGCGTAGTGAGAGAGTAGGAATTTTCAAATTTTGCGGAGCGTGGACGTAGAGCGTCTTCGGACACTCGGACAGGTCAGTTACTCTCGGTTTCTTCCGCGTGGGATTCCCGCCATTCCGCGGCCGCGGCGGCGCCGATTTCGCGGAGTCGCCGTGACGTCATCCGCGCCGGGGTGTCTGCAACGTTCCGCGAAAAGAGGCGTTGCCATGGTTACTCAAGAACGCGTTTTCCCCTATCGCCTTTAATGCGCAGTTCTCCATCCATTGCAATAGAGTCCCTTTATACTGAGAGTCAAGACAATTTGAATCCATTTCTGATTGGTTCCCGTATTTTAGGCTTCCACAGTGTCACAAACGGGAATAAAGATTACATTTTCACCAATTGCAAAGATTATAATCTGGAATGGACCAGGGAATTACGGGTTCGGCAAGGAACAAACGGAATGAGAGGAGGAACGGAGAAAGGCATTTGAGAATGGGCCGATCAAAGATTACGAAAAACGTTCAATTTCTGTAATCTTTATTCCCGTTTGTGAC